AGATACGCACGCACACACATACCTTTATATGGGTTTAGATGCGCGCACACACACATACCTTTATATGGGTTTAGATACGCACGCACACATACCTTTATATGGGTTTAGATACGCACAAACACGCACAAACACACACAAACATACTTTTATATGGGTTTAGATACACACACACACACAGACAAACATACTTTTATGTAGGTTTAGATGCACACACACACACACACACACACACACATACACAAACATACTTTTATGTAGGTTTAGATACACACCCACACACACACACACACACAAACATACTTTTATGTAGGTTAGATGTACACACACACAAACATACTTTTATGTAGGTTAGATATACACGGACAAACTTGTATCATAATTGAAATATTAATTTCTTTGTTTAAAATTAGCTGATATAAATAATTGTTATCATTATCAGCTTCTAATTACATAATTATACAGCTGTTCTCAGTAGTTTTGTGTTGAAAAGTAATTAATCTGTGTATCCTTTCTTTTGTTTTTCAACAAGTAGGATAACTGCTACAGAATTAAGAAAAGTGGAAAATAAAGTAAGCTCTTCTCCTTCTACAAGATGTGATAGCCCAAGTAGTTTTTCTCTTTGTTCTACCACGAGCCAACATGGTGTGAAGAATATCCAAGAGACAAAACTTGCTGTAAAAAAAACCAAGGGAAAATCTTTGGAAAAGGGGAAACAGAAGTACAAGGAAGAAGCTTATTGTAAGACGAGGACCCTCAAGTCTGAGAAAGACTCCTCCTTCATAAGCAACAGAAAAGAATCGGATGAAAGAAAGCAAGACAGAGAGGGAAAGGAGAAAGAAAGGGTTAGATTGAAAAACAAAGAAAAGCAGGAGGATGGATGTTCTGAAAGTAAGAAGCCAAAGAAGGATACATTGGTTGAGAATCACTTCACTTTGTCTAGTCAAGTAAGTGTAACTTTATTATAACCAAATAAAAACAGAACACTAGACATAATTAGTGTGTATTTAATGATATTAGGTTGTCAAGAAATTAATGTTGCATTTTGGAACACGTATAATAGTTAAATGAACCACCTAAACGTCACGTTAGTGTAGTCTATATAATGTATTTGGTTTAGTATACTCTAATCCCTTATACATATAGTGATGGCACATGACGAGACATGCATTCGGCATGTAATGCTTTTTGAATACAAGAAGGGAAACAATGCCTTTGTAGCCACAAAGAATATTAAAGAAGTTTATGGAAATGTTTTGAATGTTTTTAAGTGTCAATGATGGTTCAGCAAATTTCGTTCTGGTGACTTTAGCCTTAAAAACTGATATGGCAGGGGCTGATATGTTGGAATTGATATTAATGCTTTGAAGATGCTTGTTGAGTCTAACCTAAGGCAACACACTCATGAAATGGTCCTGAAATTGCATGTCTCTCTTGAAACAATATGGGGAAACTCCATAAAGAAGGTGTTTGGGTGCTTCACGATCCCTCAGATGATAATCGTTTCCAACGTATGAACATTGCTTTGTCTCTTCTGGCACGAACTGCGCATGAACCATTTTTGGACAGAATTGTCACTGGTGATGAAATATAGATTCTCTATGTGAATATTAAACACAAAAAACAATGGCTCAGTTCTAGATAAAAACCATTTCTGACCTCAAAACCTGGTCTCCATCCGCAGAAAGTGATGCTTTGCATTTGGAGGGACATCAAAGGAGTAATTTATTTTGAACTCCTCAATCCACAGCAAACTGTCAATGTAGAGATCTATAGTCAGCAGCTGGAACGTTTAAATCAAGCTCTTCATTAGAAACGCCCTTCAATCGGAAAGGTGTTCTTCTTATCCACGACAATGCACGTCCACATGTGGCACGTTTGATGCAACACAAGATTATGGAGTTGGGTTGGAAAGTTCTCTCCCACCCATAATATTCTCCAGATATGGCACCATCAGATTATCATCTTTTTTGTTTGCTGCAACACCATCTTAATTGGAAAATGTATGTAAATGTGGAAGGTGTTAAAGAGGATATCAACATGTTTTTTGCTTCAAAGTCAAGTGATTTATTTAATCAGGGCATTAACAACCTTATTGAAAAATGGAAAACCATCATCAACAAGAAAGGAGACTATTTCATTTACTAAATGTTTTGTTTCAATATATACATTGTTTGGGTTTTTTCATCTAAAAAAAAAAAAGTGACATCAATCCCTTGACGACCTAATAGATTATCGATAACTTCAGAAGATATTTGATAATAGAGGTTGCAAGATTATAAGTTTTGGACTACTAGTTCTCAAACAAATGATAGAAAATATATCAACTTTCTTGTGATTTCTTCTGTTGATTGACAGGTTATTTTAGACATTGTTACAATGATTTGGTCCCTAATATGTTAGTGGTAAGTCTGAAGTCTTTTAATGCTAAAAAATGGGTTTTGATACACATGGTTGACACAGCATAGGTAGCCCATTGTGTAGCTTTGTCTTTATTACCTTGCAAGCAAATTGTCCCCAATTATGTCATTTCATTTTTTCGTCATTGAAAAAATATTTGATAAATATTAAATAAAAGTAAAAAATTATAAAAACACACTGAACATTCTTTATGTATATTCCTTCTATGGGTTAGATGTACTGGCTTTACAAAACCATTGGCAGCTGAACTTTTTTATCAGTATTGTACTATGGTACATATTCTTTATTTTCATGTATTCCTTATTATTGTATTATACTTTGTAATGTACGTTGCCTTTTATCATATGTAGGACGTTGAGAGGCTGTGTTGAACTAGTGACTGGTAGCATGGCCCTGTTGAACTAGTGACTGGTAGAGTGGCCCTGTTGAACTAGTGACTAGTAGAGTGGCCCTGTTGAACTAGTGACTGGTAAAGTGGCCCTGTTGAACTAGTGACTGGTAGAGTGGCCCTGTTGAACTAGTGACTGGTAGAGTGGCCCTGTCGAACTAGTGACTGGTAGAGTGGCCCTGTCGAACTAGTGACTGGTAGAGTGGCCCTGTCGAACTAGTGACTGGTAGAGTGGCCCTGTCGAACTAGTGACTGGTAGGGTGGCCCTGTCGAACTAGTGACTGGTAGGGTGGCCCCGTTGAACTAGTGACTGGTAGGGTGGCCCTGTACGACAACTGTGTGCTGACCATGCTTACATCACTATAGCGATGAGTAGTAACCCTAATTACTATGTAAATATGCTTGATGCACTTACTTAGATAGCTTAGAAGATAGTGAAAGTGAGAGAAGTGGTGTTCAGTTGTGTGATGATGAAGAGGCAATGATACAAGAGGATGTTACCTTTCTAGCTTGTGATGATACTGAAGACGATGAACCTGTACCCAGTAGAGGAAGGCATAAACAGGGTTGTCAATGGGAAACATTTGTCACAGTAACTGTGTGAGGGGGTGGGAGGGGAAATATATGTCCCAATCACTGTGTGGGGGGGTGGGAGGGGAAATATATGTTCCAATCACTGTGTGGGGGTGGGAGGGGAAATATATGTCCCAATCACTGTGTGAGGGGGTGGGAGCAATGGGAAATATATGTCCCAATCACTGTGTGAGGTGTTAAAGAGCTTAGTCAGATTAGCAGCAGAGTTTTTTTTTTTCTTACTCAGAGCAGTCTCTCCATCTAGTTAAGTGTGGTTTGTTGTTATATTTGTTTAGGACAATGGTTATGGTCAGGTAGAAGCAGATAGACATCCGAGCAGCATGAACCATGAACAGATAAGTAGAGAAAAAAATGAACCGACTCCAAATTCTTATAGTGATTCAGAAAACCCAGTTCATGATGAAGTGACGAACAATGATCGATGCCAAGCTTTGGATGATGAAGACACTAGGTATGCCTAAAACAACTTTGTAGAAGTTAATTCATTGTGAAAAGTTTTTAATAATGTGTGTAGATATGTGCGTACAATATTGATTGTAAAATTTTAGATGAGATTATAAATCGTACTAATAAGAATACCTTGACTTGAGAGCATTTATAGTGTTAACTTGTATTGCTATTAAAAAAAATCAACAAACTCTTTTCTCAGAAATGTGTTCATTTAAGGTCTTTTATTATATGTAGATACTACTTAGATGTTCAGAAACTCCACAGATAGGTCCCATGCCCTTTGTAACTTGTATATTTACTTCACCAATACAATTCCTATTGAAATTCCAAACAATGTCAAAATGTGCTTCTGATACAATCTGTTCCACTGTGAATTGATATTAGCTGTTGTTATCATGTGACTTGTTTAACACAATGTAGTCAACCCTGTATAAAAGTGTGCTTTAAGATTGACAGAAATGTGCAAAAATGAAGGTTCAAAAAATTTTGTTTCTATGATTTATGCTAGGAATGTTACAAAATAAAGACTGAATTCTGAACTATTTGTGAGTTAATAGTTACTTAAATAAAATTATTATTTTTACATAAATTTATACATTTGGTATGCAAGTGTACATTGGATACCTTAATGGTTCTTTTTGGTCTTGATAGAGTTAAATTTCTGATGGCTATTTAAGTAAATAATTACCTTGATATGTACTGCTATTTATGTCATTCATAGTGAAAATCGATGCATTAACGATGCACCATGCTACTTGGTATTGCCAAATTAAACTTAATATTTGGAGCAGTAACCAAATCAATGTTCAAATATGTTACTGTTCGTAGTGGTTAGCATGGTGAACTCTGAATCTGAGGTTTACATCATTGCATTGTCACAAAATTGTACCCAGCACTTTGAGGGTGTGGGTGCATTATAAGATTGACAGTCAAATCCTACTATCTGATTAAAGTAGCCAAAGAGATGTTAGGTGCTACGGACCAGCTGCCATGTAGTCTACTAGAAAATTAGGGAAACTGTGGCAGGCTAGTGCTGATAGCTTTTATATAGTTTTGGGTGAATATAGAAAACACGTGCTGATAGCCTTTATATAGCTTTGTGTGAATATAGAAAACACGTGCTGATAGCCTTTATATAGCTTGTGTGAATATAGTTGATAGCCTTTATATAGTTTGTGTGAA